TTTTCAAAACTAGCTAGGCATTGTTTATCTCTCACATTGTCTCACCTCTCCATCATGGTTTTCCCACTTAAGGTGCCCCCGTTTCCCCCCTTCTTTTTCTTTTTGCATTTTATTTTAGCCTATTATAGAGTCACATGCAGTTTTAAGAAATAGTGCAAAGAAATTCAGTGTACCCTTTACCTAGTTTTCCCACTGGTTTATTATATATTGTATGTTTTTGTTCGTTTGGCTGGTTGGTTGGTTGGTTGGCTTTTGAGATAGGATCTCATTCTATGGCTTCAAATATAGCCATCCTCCTGCTTTAGCCTCCCAAGTGCTGGGATTACAGATGTGAACCACCATGACTGGCCATAGTTTATGCTTATAGTGCATTATTGCAATCAAGAAATTTTTACTTATCTACTAGCCTTATTCGGATCCCATAAATTCCACATGCACACTTGTGTATGTGTGTAACCTAGGCTTAATGTGTGTATGGGTGTATGCGGGGGTCTCTCCCTCTCTTCATGGGTTGTTGGCCACTGGCCCATGAGGGCAGGGAGAGCAGAAGCGGCGAACGGGGTCAGGATGGCCAGTGAGCACTGACAGAAGAGAGCCCTTCCGGGGAGACTGGTCCCAGGCGCAGTGAAACAGCAGTGATACAACTCCAGACACAGTGAAAACAGCTCCGTTTATTCAGTGGGAGAACTAGAGAATTTATAGTGTGGAGGCAGTGGCAAAAGCCTCAGTTGATAGGTGCTCATAGTATGCTTTATTTACATGTGGCAGTGGGCTCCTATCTTCCAGACTATCAGGCAATGCCTGATTATCATATAGAAAAAACCTGGGGGTAGTTTTTACTCCAGGTAACTATGCCAAAGGTCATGTTTTTAGATAAGGTCAGGCATCCGTGCTTGGTGGCACTTTCCAGGTAAGCCAGGAAGAGTCCTTCCATTTGGCGCCGAGCCCCTCAGGGCTATCTGGACATGGAGAACTACAACCCTAACAGCAGGGTTTCCCAACAGGTGTATATTTAGTTTTATACAATTCAATAATATGTAGATTGTGTCTATCACCAGTGATTCTTCTTGCCACTAATTTAAATCCCTAGCCTCCTCACCCTTCCCCTCAAGTCTCTGGTCATCAGTAATCTGTTCTTCATCTCTTATTTTGTCATTTCAAGAATGTTATAGGCTGTTTTTACTCAGCACAATTACCTTTGAGATCCATTTAAATTATGCATGTATCAATAATTAATTGCTTTAAGAAGAGAGTCTCACTGTGTAGTCCAAGCCAGCCTCAAATTTGCCTTTCTCCTCTCTGTTTCCCAAGTACTAGTGTTACACCTGTGCACCACCACACTTGACCTAGTTCATTTCTTTTTATTCCCCAGTAATCTGTGGTATATAGCTATGCCACAAATTTCTGTTTGTTTGTTTTTTTTAACTTTTTCCTAGATTTTTGTTGTTATTGCTTCTTGAAAAGCATTTGGGTTGTTTCTGATGTGCAGTTATTATGACTTAAAATACTGTAAACATTTGAATGCAGGTTTGTCTATAACTTTCTCACTTTCTTATTCATAATATTTTATTTACCTAAATTATAGGTTGTAGAGTTGAGGGTAAAATGTGTAGCATCAACTGAACATTTCCTAGAGCTATTTCAAAAGACAGAAAAAAATATATCACCCTCAAATTCTCCAGGGCCTTTATTTTTGCCTGTTTGGATTTCCTGACATTAAATTATTCCCACCAGGGATAATAACAGTGGACTTGCCCATCAATATCTATATGGCTGTGGTTAGGAAATAGGAAGGTGTATTTTTAAATTCTTGCTTGTCTAAACTGTTGTCTAAAAGATTGTACTAAATTACAAATAATATGAAAAATCCTGTTCTTAGAGATGATAAATATCTAGTGTTTCTAGAGACACAAAGTGGTATAAGTATATAACTTAATTAATATGCATGAACTACCAAAGGCAGATAGTAAATAATGTTTGTTTTTTCAGAGTTTAGTCAACTAATAGTTATTTCATGGGGACTAATGCTGCCAAAATAAAAATTATTCTTAGATTGACATGTTGGCCCATACCTATAATCTCAGCATTTAGAAGACTGAGGCAAGGAGGTTCATGAATTTGGAATCAAATTGGCCTACATAGTGAGTTTGAGGCCAGCCTGGGCTACATAGAGAGAGACCTGGCTTTAAGGGAAAAAGAAAAGAAATTATTAGAGGACTTTAACAATTTCTGAGTAATTTATTCCTTAAAGTGATTATAATATCTGTAATTGAAGAAATTATACAATAGTAAGAACTTACTTAGAAATTGAAAAGTAAATAGAGGCTTTTTATGTCTTTACAGGTTAATGAAATTTGTAGAAAATAGGGAGTATAGAGAAAAGCAATATTCAACCTTAAAAGTCCACCTAATTTGATTTTTAGTGTCTTTCTTTTGGTAGGGGGTCTTTTTGACACCAGGTCTCCCTGTAGCCCTAGCTGACCTGGAATTCACTATATAGACCTGGTTGGCCTTGAACTCACAGACCTCTGCCTGCCTCTGCTTTCTAAGTGCTGGGTCTAAAGATTTGTGCTACCATGCTTGTTTTTTTTTTGTTTTTTTTTGTTTTTTTTTTGTTTTTGTTTTTTTTTAAAGACAGACTCAACTGTATAGCCCAGTCTGGCTCAAACTTGTAATCCTCCTTGCCTCAGCCTCCCAAATGCTGAGATTACATGTGTACACTACCAGGCCCAGTTTTGGCCCAGTTTAAGTGTATGTTTTAAGAGAGTTTTAATTGAAGATTGTATGGATTGTATAGTACATTTATACTTTAGATAGTGTAGTATTATTAAATGAACTTTATTACATCAAGTGATGCTTTATACATAATATTTTGATTGAATATTTTATACTAATAAAACTATTTGAGTATTTTTTCTGGCCAAGTTTCTGTATAGGTTAGAACCCAAGAAATCAGATACTGATGAGAACAATTTTTGATATATTGTTAAATTGCTTTGCAAAGAATTATACCAGTTTCTGATATCTCCAGAAAAGTATAGATATATAATTTTACAACACTCTTACCAATATTCTCATTACTATTACTAATTAATTCTTTTGGTTTGCATTTCTATCTAGTTGCTAGTAGTGATGTGGTACATATTTTCATTTGTTTACTGATTGTTTTTCTTCTTTTATTAGTTACTATTCATGAAAATTAGAAATGCTGTACTACTTCCTTGCCATTTTGTTTTGTGTTAGAAGTCATTAAAATTGAGATTATGTGTAACAGGGGTTTTATCTTGAAATAAAAACCCTAGTGCCGGTGCCAGGTATGGTCACATACACCTTTGATCCCAGCACTTGGGAGGCAGAGGCAGGTGGTGGTCTGTGAGTTCTAGCAAGTTCCAGGCCAGCTGGGGCTACAGAGAGACCCTGTCTCAAAAAGACCAGGAAAAAAAAAAAAAAAAAAAACCTAGTGCCTTTTCTATAATCAATTTTGTTTCTAGTCCAGGACTTCCTGACACAATCTAGTTTAATCCAGAAGACTTGAGCTATCTAAGCACTATTTCTGCTAACAAATATGCAGGCTGTGCCAGAACATATACCTGCATTTATAGTGAACTACTAATTATATGTTTGCCCTCACTATTAGAAAGGAAATAACTCACTTTCATTCTACTTGGCTGTTTTATAATAGACTAAAAGCAATAAAGTTGCAGATTTATTTGTGTGGCCTCAAGGTACAAGTGAGGGGCATGCACTGTGCAACAAATGGGGCCTGCTTCATTATTCAGAAGCCAGACTAAACTGACTTAAAGTATAGTGTTTGCCTCAAAAAAACTTAGATAACTGCTTTAGAGTTAGTACAACATGTTGTAAAATACTGTGCTTTTTTTCTTTACTTCCAGGTTTACAAATAAAAGTGACCAAACTGAAAAAGGAACGAATTTTGTAAGTATCTACATGCAGTACCAACATCTTATATGGAAACTGATACCGATAGCCAGTTTGACCTCAGTGTCCTATTTCAAAAGAAATCAACTTTACTTGGGTTAATTGATGGTGATTTTTAAGTTCTAAAGTAGAAAGGAATAACTTTGCTAATTTTAAGTATACTTTATAACCTTTTTTCATAGATTAGTAAAAAGGAAATTTAGTGGAATTTTTTCTCTGCTATGTTAATACCTAGAATTTAAAATATAAATAGGAGAGAAAAATAATTCTGAGATTTCTAAACTCATAAGAAATGGAAGCCAGGCATGGTGGCACATACTTATAATCCTAGCACTTGAAATAAAGCAGGAAGATCAGGAGTTCAAGACTAGTCTCATTATATAGTGAATTTGAGGCCAGCCTGAGCTCCATATAACCCTATCTCAACTAAAAAACAATGGTAGACATGTTCGCACATTCCTGTACTTCCCAGGAAATATAGGAGTACTACTTGGGAAGTAGACTCAGGAGGATCAGGACCTCTAGGCCAACATTATCTACATAGCAAGCTCAAGGCTAGCCTGAGCTATAGGAGACCCTGTCTCAACAAACCAAGCAAACAACAACAACAAAAAAAACTAAATCTGAGCCTGGTGGTACTCTTGTAATCCTAGCATTTAGGAGATTGAGACAAGGGAGAACAGAAATTAGAGGCCAGTGTGGGTTGCATGAGACTCTGTCTCAAAAGATCACATGCACTCAAAATTGTGTGTGTGTGTGTGTGTGTGTGTGTGTGTGTGTTCCACTTACATGTATAGATGCGGAATAGCTATTC